TTGAAAAATGTATATTTCAAAAAAATATTAAAAAATGTATTTCAAAAAAATATTAAAAAATGTGTATATATATTTTTTTGAATTTCATGTTCAGTTTAGTAGTAGAGTAGTGTAGTAAAAAAAAAAACGAGTTCAGGCACGAGCCGAGCTCGCCCAGGAGCCACGAGCTGGCGAGCCGAGCTGCTCATTTTGGGCTACCTCGGGCACGAGCCGAGCTCTCCCAAAAACACGTGGGTTACGAGCCACGAGCTCGGCTCGTGCGGGTATGCCCATTGCCACCACTATCAGTATACAAAGAAAGTATGCATCTTTTTCATGATTTATTTAGAGTTATATTTTTTCTTTTTTAATTTTGGTTTCAAAATACCATTTGATTCCGGTGAATAACTAAAAATAGTTTCATGTATAATGCTAAGCAAAATTATTCAAATTGCACTACAGATTATCCACCCTTATGATATAAATTATTAATTTGTAGAACTATTTCAAATCTATGCTTTTGACTCTGATTAACAAAGTGAGCAAAAGGGCAACACTGTAGAACCAGAATATGCTTTTCTTCTTTTATTAAGACAACAGCTTGAAGTGATCGGTTTTATTAAAATTGCATTAGGTCTTTCAGCAAACAAGAAATGAAAATATATTGCTCTTCAAGCAGTTGTTCCAGCCGCAATTTTTCTTCCACTGATGGCCGTCTTATCTTCATCTGTGTTTCCACTATTTTCGGAACCATCAAGAAATTGTTGGGCAGACGAGGAGCCAACGAGGGGACTGGAGTGGCCACACTCAGTTCCACATAACACGCTACAAACCAGTACTTTTCCTTTACACTGATTCATGCATTCCTTAAAACAACTTCCGTGAGCCGATATGACCAGCATCATCAACATGGCAATCACAAATTCTATCCTCGTTTTGCTCTTCATGTTTGTTACTGACATATATTTAAGAATGAATTACAGTACAAGATATAATCCAAGGACATCAGCTATTTATAGATCTCTAAAGTAATTGCATACTTTGGTATTCTATTGGGGTTGTATTTTTTCCTTATTTTCTGTGGAGCCTAATTTCAACGGAAGCAGAATACCACATATATTGAACAATAACAAAGTACCAACATCAAAGGATTCTATTATCACATAGGGCTCAGAAATAATTCATTGTACCATTTTGTACAAAGAAACGGCTACAAAGACACCAACACCTTAAAGAAATCAACTACACAGCTACTCAATGAACCCAGACCAAACGAATTGATCCAACACTCTAAATCCCTCAAGAATGGAATCACTTAGACTCTAATCACAAAGATTGATGATTAAAACCAGTAGTTTTAATCTATTCACACATAATCGAACGAGAGAATTAAGAGAAGAAAACACGAAGGAAAGACCCCAGAAGCTTCTTGCACACAAAGGAGAGAACAGAATGAAAGATTAGGACACAAGTGACCATTCAATTGATATATATATACAATTCACAATCACCATTGATCAGATTGTAGATCAAGGGCTCAGAGCAACACACGTGTCATTATGTTGGGATGGGTTTTGAGCCGGTTTCTAAGTGTTATCAATCAATGGCCGATAACATGTAGCAATGGACCAGGCCTAGTTTTCGCCATAGCCCACCGTTGAAGAGCAAATGTCAAAAATGGCATCACAATCCAACATTTTCTTTCCGTTGAATGCTTTCAAATACTATCATCTTCAAAAAATGATGAAAATCTAGGGGTAGATATCATTGAACAGGTTCGAGTTTATTGTAAAATAATTAAACTACTCGTTTAGTAGATAGTATTAAGTGGGATACGAAGTCCCAGTTTGACATTCATTATTACAAAACTCTTTAATTTGTATACTCATTTTCAACCACACATTCACATAATAAAATATTTTGTATGTAAACTCAAAAAATTTCCCCATTTTGTAACCACACATTTTTAAAATATATATATATATATATTATTCAAAACAATATTTTTCAAAATAACGGCCATCAAACAGGGCTAAATTTTACAAATAAGATTTTTCGTTTTTTCTTAGTATTATCTACTGTACTAATTAAGTCTAACTTACCAAACAAACTAGTAAAAATTAGGTTCTCCTTAAGGGAATTTTCCTGCCTTTTTTTTTTTTTTTCTTTTTTCACTTATTTAAACACTTTATGTGCTAGCTGTTGTCTTGGTTGATCATGTGCTATTATTGTTGCTGGCTTTTGCATCATGTAGTAAAAACTACTAATCACACAATGTAAGTGTAACTCCCTCCAATCTTGAAATTTTAACAGTTCTGTATCATAAAAGACAATATTCCCTTTCACTCTTCCTTTTCCTTTCTATCAAGTAGATAATTGCATATTAATATTTTTCTTTTGCAATGATGTGAAATAATTAATCTCAAAAGGTGGTCTAAACTTCTTCAACTGTTGTTCAATTAATTAAAATCACAAGTTTGAACCTCTTCAACATTCTTCAAAATCATTGCCAAAGTGTGACAATCAGTCTTGGAATTCTAAATTGGTGGATTTTAATTTCAATTTTATTTTTGTTATACAAGAATTACATTAAAAACATAAGAAAGTATCCAAATTCATTAAGATTTGAAAGTATAACTACTTAATTTGAATCTAAATTAAAGTCCAGTATCCAAATTGGAATAAATTAAAGTTTAGTCACCAATTACGATAAATTGAAGGTTATTGTTCCAATTTAGATTTCAGAAAGTTCTGGGTACTAAAAATATAAAAAGTAATTATATAATGAATTGGGCCCATGTGCTGTCGATTAATTCAAGATCTGGGTACTAAATATAAAAAGTAATTATATAATGATACTAATTTGTAGCACAAACCCGTGAGTGCAGCATGTGACAAAATGATTGTTTGCAAGGAAGACGAATCCTTGTTTTAGATCATGCCCTCGAGAACGTGGTTTTACCAATAGAAAAGACAAAAAACCATCACATGCTCACATAACTATAGGTAACAAAAATTAGGGTTACACTTTCGATTACACCAAATAAATTGAAATTAACAATATATAAATTGTTTATAATTGTCTTTATTACTTTCGTTTCTAACTAACTTGTCATTTTCCATCTTTATATTCACATGAGATAGATAATGGACTTTAATGCTTCATCGATAAAGAAACAGAGTAATGCTATGCTACTTCATGGATTTGTAGCAAATTCAGATATGTTGACCTAACTTGATTGTCGATCTTGACTCGATGTTAATGGTAGAATACTCAAGGAGATAGTTGAGGTATAGTATAATTGGACTCCTATGTGGCATCATTAGTAATTATGACCAACTCTAGGTGGCAGCGTTGTCAATCGATATATTTCCCATTGATTTAAATCTATCCTAACAACAAATAGGAGAATTTATGTATCACTTAGATGATGTCAAGCACCGGTTTTACTCCGTAGCACTATTAATAAAGAAATAACATAGCAAGTTGGTGATATGGGTCCTCTTGACCATTAAAAAGGCTAGGTTCGACCATTGCTTAGTTCAATCATACTATTTGTACAACTTTCTTATTTATCGCTTTGCACTTTGCAGCATCACATCCATCTATTTTTAAAAACTATTTTTTAAATCAACGATACAGATCTTGACAACTCACTAGCTGTACAACTAGATTAATTATTGCTTAGTCATATAAAAATATATTTGCATAATATAAAAGAATGAAGCCATAATACAGGTTCTCTTATAGGGCAATTCCACCTTGATAAGAGCAAATAGAGTTAATGATGGAGGTGAGCATTCTAAGGGCAGTTGTGTTGGTTTTAGCTTTGGGAATGCTAACTGGGCGATCTTGTGCCTCTTTCAAAGATTGCTACACCAAATGCTTTATATTTTGTATGATTGAACCTTCTGAAACCCTGTGTACCTGCACTACACACTGCTTGAAACAATGCATATTCTCAGACACCCCACAAGGTGTTCATGAAGACGAGGATAATCTTGGATTTTGCAAACTTGGCTGTGCCTTCTCCTTGTGCTCCACTATTAGTAGTAAACAAAAGCCAAGTAAGCCTCTCTCTCTCTCTCTCTCTCTCTCTCTCTCTCTCTCTCTAGTCGATTGTAGAGAGGTACGGTAGTTACTGTTCCCATCAAGGCTATCCCCTTATTTTTTCTCCCACTAGAATTTGGATGCCTCGCTATAAATTTAAGGTATTGAAATTCTAGTGATCGGACAGCTAAGGAGACCTTACGAGGACAGACCGTAGATCTGGACTCACATATCTATCTATACAAATTAAAAACACACATCTAATGTTCTTCTTGTGTTTTCAGATGGAGAAAAGGTTGATAACTGTGTGGGATCGTGCTCAACAAAGTGCACAAAGAGCTACTCATTACCTTGAAGAAAATTGGTCATATATGTTACTCTTTAATCTTGACATATACAGACTACTTGTCATCATTTTAGGAGTTCCTTTGTTTTATTTTTTTAATCTTAACTTGGTGATTTTAGCAATTCCATGTTAACTTCAATGGAATGATGCTATCAATTTCTGCAGTGATTTTCTCCTTTAGGAAACTAGCATTTTTCGCGCTTCTACTTCTACTTTAAAACAAGTACAAGGACTTCCTCCTTTTCAAAAGTTACGATTTTTAACAATGAAAGATCACAAGTTTCTACTAGCACAATATTAGGATTTCCGTATCGATTATGAAAAATCAATCTATGGATACGGTTTTAATTATAGTAAACATAAATTTCTTAAAATAACCACTTATTAAGAGCTTGTTTGGGAGGGATTTTTGGGGGAAGAATTGATTTTGAATAGTAATATGATGGGAAATGTGTGGTTGAAAAAGAAGAAAAAATTATTAATGTGATGGAAATATTATTTTATTGAAAGATATGTGGTTGAAAATGAGAATTGATTTACTGTAGAAAAATCTAAATCTCTCCCAAACAGGGCCTAATACTTTCTTTCTATCATTGCACATTGTATGAATTCGTGTTTACATTGGGAGATATGGCTAATATGGTAGGTATGAATACGGTCGAACTTGAGATTAGTGGAACATATATGCAAAGTATATATATCTTGGAGAACCATCATCTATGTAAAGCATTAGACAACAACCTATATCGCTTAGAGTTGTAACCGATCCTAGAAGTGTAAAAGCTTCACCAATTCGAATGTAAGAGGCCCACCTAAGCAATGGATGCAAGAAATCCATATCTACTTTTGATCAATCCAAGGTAATAATTAAGATTTTCTATTGTCGTAACATGACCCGTGAACAAGACTCAATAATGGGCATGTGAAGAAAGTAGACTAGGGTTCACGTGTTTCTTGTGGACATTGGTTCCAACAATATACTTCGTCTTTTACTCTTTTTTCTTAAAAAAATTTGTGAGTTTTTTCATTGGTTCACGTAGACTAACCCAACATCATTAGTGACAAATTAAGATTACTTTCATCGTACTAGATCCAACCCAACGAGTAAAATGAATTGTCAGTTACATCAAAAAAAATCCAACAATTACATCATCATATGAAATTATGGAGATAAAGGGAATTGGAGAAGAAGATGCAATTGGCAGGAGAATTTGTTAATCTCCCAAATCACATTACAAACGACCACAGCGTACAAAATATATAGAAAAGGAATTGAAAGGAAAAGACTAAAATGCCCTCTAATATTTACAAATTCCTCAATACTCCCCCTCAAGATGAGAGATGTATGTTCAAAATTCTCATCTTGGATATGAGTTGCTTGAATCGAACTCCTCCTAATGGTTTTGTCAACAAATCAGAATCATCTAGCTGGTCTTAAGAGGCAACGTGCAACATCTTTACCTCTCCAGATTGGACTTTGTCTCTCACAAGATGACAATCAATTTCTATATGCTTTGTTCTCTCGTGAAAAATCGGATTGCTTGCAATATGAATGGCTGACTGGCTGTCACAATAAAGCAACGCTGCTCTATCGTGTTTGATGCTTAAATCCCCAAGTATGTTTCTTAACCAACTTAATTCACAAACAGCAGCGGCCATAGATCTATATTCAGCCTCTGATGATGATCTAGAGACAGTGTGTTATTTCTTCAACCTCCAAGAAACCAAGGAATTCCCTATAAAGACATAATAACCTGTGACAGATCTTCTGGTGTCCAGGCATGCTGCCCAATCAGCATCGCAAAAGCTTTTCAGTACAAAGTCTGATCTGCTTTCAAAGAATAAACCATGTGCTGGTGTGCCCTTCAAGTATCTTAGCATGTGGTGTGCAGCTTCCAAGTATGGCTGCCTTAGTGATTCTAGGAATTGAATGAGTATTTGTACAGCGTATGACAAGTCAGGTCTAGTAATTGTTAGATACAAAATCCTTCCTATTAGCCTTCTGTAAGTGCTTCCATCTTCAATCAATTCTCCATGATCCTTACTCAGCTTTAAATTCTGAGGAAGTGGATATTTAGCAGGTTTAGCCCCAAGGTATCCGGCAACAGTTAGCACGTCTAGAGCATACTTCCTCTGGTTCATAGAAATTCCATTTGATGTTCTCGCAATTTCAAGACCAAGAAAATACCTCAAGACTCCCAAGTCCTTTAATTTGAATTGCTCATTTAGTTATTTCTTGAATTGCTCAATGTATGATTTGTCATTGCCTCATATGATAATATCGTCCACATAAATGAGTAAGGCTATGAAAGACCCTTCTTCATGTCTGCTAAAAAGGGAATAATCAGTCCTTGACTGTGTAAAACCTTGAGAAATAATGTATGAGGTCAGCTTAGTGTTCCATTGCTAGATGCCTGCTTGAGTCCATAAATGGACTAGTTCAATCTGTATACAAGTTTCTCTCCAAACTCCCCCTACTGTTCATAACCTTTAGGCATCATCATGTATACTTTCTCATCAAGTTCTCCATGGAGAAAGGCCTTGTTAATATCCAACTGATGAAGATACCAACCTTTATGAGCAGCCACTGCCAACAAGCACTTCACAGTCACCAGCTTGGTAACAGGTGAAAAGGTCTCTTAATAATCTGTGCCAACTTGTTGGGTGAACCCCTTTGCAACAAGCCTGACCTTCTTCCTCTGTTCAATCCCATCAGAGTTCAACTTCACCTTAAAAACCCATTTGCAGGCAACTAGCCATTTATGCTCAGGAAAAGTGGTAACTGTCCAAGTGTTATTTGACACCAATGCTTGATATTCACTATCCATAGCCATGCACCAATCTGGACACTTAGCGGCTTCTTCATACGAGCTGGGCTCAAAAGTAGTGGATAAGGCAAGTGAATATGTTCTGTAAGCATGAGATAACCTGCTATAATCCAAGAACTCAGATATAGGGTATTGTTTTCCACCTTTGGGACCTGTTACCATGAATTCAAATTAGAGAGCAGGTACTTGAGATGCAAGACTGCAGTGGTAATCTTGTAGATAGGTTGGGGCTCTTCTAGATCTATTTGATTGTCTGATGGGTAAAACAGGGGTTGGAGCAGGAGTTGGACTTGAAATGGCAGTTGGAGGGAATTCATGTGTGTTGGTTTGAGAATGTTCAGATGAATTAGAAGGTGAAGGAACAAGAGAGAATGGAAACAATACCAGAAATGTCAGGCAAGGAATTACCATTCAGGACAGAAAAGAGAGGTGAATCAGAAGATAGGTGGCCTCAGGCTTTGATAAGGAATAAAGGAATCTGGTATGGTGAAAATGAAATATTTTCTCATAGAAAACCACATCTCTACAGACAAAAATGGTGTTGGTTAGCAAATTGTACAATTTAAAAGCCTACATCCCATAGGGATAGCCAATGAAAATACAAGGAACAGCTCTAGGATCAAATTTGCTTCAACTCCTCTTGAGGTTAGAAGCATAGCACAAACACCTAAAAACATTGAGATGAGAATAAGAAGGTACAGATAGATGGAGCATTTCATAAGGCGTTTTGTTTTCAAGGGTCAAAGTAGGAGTTCTATTGATCAAGTACAGCAATTATGGTTTTCTCACAAAATTTATGAGGCAGACTGGCTTGGAATTTTATGGCTCTGACTACTTTCAGTAAGTGTTGATGTATTCTCTCTACTGTCCCATTTTGTTGAGGGGTTTCAACATAACTGAGCTGGTGAATGATTCCTTTATAGTGAAAGAATTTAGTCATGTGGAACTCAGATCCATTATTTGATCTGAGAACCTTTATTTTGTAATCAAATTGTGTTTGAATCGTATGATAAAATGAATGAATTACATATCGAGTTTGAGATTTTTCCCTCCTAAGACATGTCCAAGTCATCCTAGTGTGGTCATCAACAATGGTTAGGAAATATCTAGAGCCATCTATATAAGGGACTGAATAAGGCCCCCATATATCACAGTAGATAATGTCAAAATTGTTAGAAGCTCTAGTTTCACTTCTTTGGAAAATAATCGATGTTGCTTGGCTGTAGGACAGACAATACAATGCAAGTGCTTGTTGAAAGTAATAGAGGGAATTAACTTGTGCAAAACAGACAATTTTGAAATAGGAAGATGCCACATTCTATAGTGCCACAAATCAATATCAATGTGTACATTGAGATCACTTATGGAATTATAAGAAAGATGTGCTTTATTACATTGTGAACTGATATTAGAATTACTAATAGAACTACGAAAAACAGGTAATTTGTTATCAAGATCAGAGTTGATGGATTTGTTTAGAAATGGCTGGGTATTTGAATGTTGGAAGGCATACAGTCCATCTTCAAGTTTACCCACTCCAATCGTCTTCCATGTTANGTCTTCCATGTTAGGAGGTCCTAAACAAAACAATATTGATGCAAAAATTTCAGGAAGCAATTATGTCTACGAACCAACTTGCTAGCTGAAATCAGATTGAATGTGAAACAAGGTACTACCAATACATGTGTCAACATTAAGGTGTCAGATAACCTGAATGTTCCAATATGAGTGGCTTCAGCAATATCACAATTAGGTAACTTAACATCTGCTTTAACTTTGAGAGAAATGGAAGTCAAATACCAAATGGAACATACCATGTGTTCAGAGGCACCAGTATCCATTATCCATTTTGCTTCACCAATTTTAGTGTTGGAACAAGAATTATTACTTGAGAAAGAAAAGCATCTGGCACTGAATAGCCAATGTTAGGCACATTCTAGGACTGTGATTGTGCAGATGTTCGAGAATCAGTAGACATATGTTCCTTCAACTGAGGTACGAGCATTGCCAGAACCTGCTTGCATTATTCTGGAGTGATGGTGAGATTTGATAGAGATTCAATAACACCATTCTAATTACCAACAAAAGGCTAACCAACAGCATTTTTGCCTTTAGCAAAACGGTGTCCAGGAGGATATCCTACCAATTTTTAGCACTTTCCTTTAAGATGTCCAAGCATCC